GGGATGTTTCCATTAAGCCTCTCCCCTCAGGGCTTAGGGAACTGTATGAAAGAGGAGGTAGAAAGATTGAATCAAAGAGGATGGATGCCACCAAGGAAACTATGTATTCCAGACACAGCATGACTGAGGTACATATGAACTCACAGAGACTCTAGCAGCACACAAAGACCTTGCATAGTTTGAAGCCAGAGCTCTAGCTTCAACTGAAGAGGAGGAAGTAGATAGGAGCTCCCATCCCTATTCAATGGACAACTATTTGCAAAGGGAAACTTAGTTTTCTCCAATGGAGTCTCACTTTTAGTGAGGTATATAAACCTCACTAAAATTCTCAAAATAGTATATGAAAAATTAGCATCAAAGTTCTAAGAAAATTTTGAACCTAGAGTATCACTAGGTAGAACATTATTTAAGTGGGGAAACAACATTCATTTTCAGATGCACAGAGACTACATAGTACCTATCAAGAACCATAGTTAATAACTCTATCAGACAATTAACCTTGGTCTGAGTTGACTGGCTTCTACACATGAGAAAGAACCCAGGAGCTTCCTACACATGCAATTCGAGTGGAAATGTAGGTGTGGTATGTCAGCTTATTGTTGTGTTTCTCCTAGCATGAAAACACTTGCTTACATACTATGCCTTCTCTGCAGTAGAAGAGGAACAGGCAGGTATGTGTGGTTGCAGGAGGAAACCGAAGAGGTAATGCAGCAAAGGAGACCAAAAGAATTGTTATGGGATTTGCAAGGTATTATAGTGGCCATACAATTTCGAATAGAAAAGGGACAGAATATGGCTTTTGTTTTCACCAAGCACACTGGCTAGTCTTAAGTCTACTTGACACAAGCTAGAGTTACTTGAAAGGAGGGAACTTCTATTGAGAAAATGCCTCCACAAGATCCAGCTGTAAGGCTTTTTCTTAATTTGTGTTTGATGCGTGAGGACCCAGCCCACTGTGGATGGTACTGTCCATATGGTTCTGGGTTCTATAAGGAAGCAGGCTGAGCAAGTGAAGGGGAGCAAGCCAGTAAGTAGTATCCTTCCAGAGCCTATGCATCAGCTCCTTCCTCCAGGATCCTGCCCTGCTTGAGTTCCTGTCCTGACTTCCTTGGATGATGATCAGAGCTGTAAAAGTGTAAGCCAAATAAACCCTTTCCTCCCCAAGTTGCTTTTCGTCATGATATTTCATCACAGCAATAAAAACCCTAATTAAGGCATACAGTATTGTGATTTCTGTTTGGAAAAAAAAGACTATAGGGTAGCAAGAGAAGTGAGGGGTGGTAAGGGGTGGTGCAGTTGAGCTGTCATTCTAAAATGCAATAGATTAAGCAATAGAGCTCATTCTCAAAAATCTGAAGGTTATCAGAGTATGAGCTGACCAATGACAGGCTGAAATTTGCAAGGTGGTTCAAACTACAAAGTTGTGGTTGTTTCATCTCCTTCAGAGATCTGCTCCAGGACTATAAGCTAGCTTGACAAGCTCATCTCATTGGCAAAGGTCACAGCAAAAGGTCCACAGCAGAAATACATGTCAAGCCACTGCCTTCATTCTTGGAACACACAATTAGAACTCAAACCAGGAGAGGAAAAGTAGACTGCCTACTGTGAGCATGATCGGAAAGAGGAGATGACTAGGGAACCAATAATTCTACCTACTCCACCAGTTGAAATATGATGGTTGCTTGCTTACAGAATGTAAGAAACAGTGGGAAGCCAGGACATGGTTGAGTTACATATTTGTTTTGCAGATAAAACTGATGTAATATGTGAGTGTATCAGACATGGCAACAGAATCAGAGAGAAATAAAGGATGTGTTCCCTTATTCATGTGTTCACAGGTATTCCTTTCCAGTGGTGCATTATAGATTGACAATGTTTTCTTGCTGTATGTGGAGTGACATTTTATGTTTCCCTTGACTTCTATGATCTCCTCAGAGGTTGTCTACAGAAGATCAGAGATCTTACTGTATGTTGCCTTAAGACTAAGAGATAGTTGATTGAAACAAGTAATATTGTGTATACTCAATAGTGTCAGTGTCCTCCTAAAGCTCTCTCTATAGTATAGGGTCCCATGGTAATCCAGTGCACTCCTCTAGTCCACTAAGAATTCCTTTGAAATAAAAACCAAGAAGTAGTATCAGACTAGAAGTTGTAGGTAGAGTTTTCCTGTCCCAGGAGCTGCTTCCAAATGACCACACAGAGGTTTATATTAATTACAAATGCTTGGCCAATAGCTCAGACTTATTACTAAGTAGCTCCTACATTTTAAATTAACCCATATTTCTTATTGATGCTTTGCCACATGGTGGTACCTTTATTATCATGGCATGTTCATCTTGCTTCTTCAGGTCTCCTCTTGACTTTCTGATTCTGCCCTTCTTTCTCCCTGTGTCCTCCATTTGACACCCTGCCTACACTTTTTGCCTGGCTATTGGCCAACCAGCTTTTATTAGACAATGAGAGCACTACATATTCACAGTGAAAAGAAGTATTATTCCATAGCAAGAAGTAGTTTCTTTCTACTGGTTGGTCATCAGCATGACAATGCCAGTTTTCAGTACAGTTCTGGCCAGTTCTTCTGCTACCTTTCTCCACTCTCTGAACATACTGAAAGTGTAAGTCTGCTCTGAAGACTGTTTGAGACATTAGTGTATGCTTAGGAGGATTTTATCATACATGGTTAAAGATTTTGCATTTCAATTTATAAGGTTTAATTACTTGGAATATTTATTGTAATAAATGCTCCATTCTCCAGTGGCAATAAGTGAATGAGACATCCCTCCACTCCACCTTTAGGTATTTAGGCATTAGAAAATAGAGTATGTTCCATTCGACAATGCAAAAAGTACATGCTGTTTGTTTTGTTGCCATGTGGACTATTCAGCCCCAAGATACCTTGGCTTGGACGGAAGCCATGTTGAGTGACAGGTCTATGTAATTCTACCTTCTTAGTAAGCTGTTTGGGGCCTCAGTGTTCCGAGATCAGGGGTTTGTACATTAAGAGGCTTATGGGCCCTGTAGTGTTCATTTTGGTTTGTCCTTAAGCCAAGAACTTTTACAGAAGCCCGAGTCCTACAATTCCCGCCCAAACAATGACTGTCCTATAAGCAGTTCATCCTTGCTCATTACTGCAGTTCCTGCTGACAGGGAGTGGGGTGCAGAGCCATCCCACAGGAAGAGCAAGTGGAAACCATGCCTTTACAGGTGGAGCTTTCTGGCTCAAATAAGGAATCAAAATGAAATTAGCCATCGGAAATTTCATTCAGGTCAGTCCAAGCACTGCGAAGTACAGCAACTCCAGAACGTTCTCCATTAAGTGATCAAGTCCAATTTCTATCCACGTCCTTCTTCCACAGCAGGCAGGCCTGAGACCCTCATCGATTGCCTTCCACAGGCACAGTTGCTGTCAGAGACGCTAATGATAGATCGTTCCTCAGGAGCTCTTATTCCTGACCTCGTGTGGTTTGTGATCTGGTCTGGAACAGCAGAGTCACGCACAAACACCACTCATTGAACAAGGCAGCCTGTGATGGAGTGGTCAGCCACACGGTTCAGACAATAAGAATTCCAGTGCCAACAACAACTGCTAAGTGTGTTATAGAGCCAACTTTAAGAGAAATGGGATTGTGACAAAACAGTATAAATAAGATGCCTGATTTGGATATTTCAACCTCTACTGTTTCCTTTCTTCCAACTTAAATTTCCCTGCAACAGAGCAAAAGCCTTTTGTAGCAGTAATCACTTTAAAATGAAGTTTAAACTAATGGGCACCCATTCTAAAGAAACGCTCTAATTTTGGACAGACCCACCACCCATCCATCACTCTGACCCACTCTAGGACAGTGATGCATAATCCATCCCAGAGCTTTCTGCACATTGTTCCCCTGTTCAAACACATAAATAGCTTCCTACAGCCAATGTCAGTCAATCTGTGTGGAGACACTTCGTCTCTCCAGGAGGGGCCTGCCTTACCCTCGCATATCTGGTTCATAGCTAGGAGATAATACTAAAGAACTCTTCATTGTGGTTTAGCCATGTCTTTACACTTAGTCTATATTTCTGTGACCTCACACTACTATAGTAGTTCATGGAATGGACAATAGAGCCGCTCCAGTGTTTCCCCTTGTGTCCTACCAGCTTCGTGACACTTTCCTTCAGTTCATCCCTGTGGAGTGCCATTAGAAATATTTCCACTTCCCTTTCATCAGAGAGTACAGCATAGATGCTTGATAAATTGCTGATTGGCTTTTAGTTTTAGTGGGCTGAAACACATGGTAACTGTGGATGTAGGGCTGGAATGAAGCTCGGCAAATGAGTGACATGCTTGGTGCACAGCATTGAAGGCTCATTTCATTTAATTCCTGGCAGTTGACCCTACTCTTGAGTGCTGATGATCCAGAGTCAGTATTGGCTCGAATGGCTTATCCTGGCTCTTTTGCTCTTATTGCATTTGAAGTGGCACTTGGTTTGGAGGTTACTGTGCGAGATACAATAATGTACTTGCAGGGTCTATTTTATTCAGTAAAAGCAGATACTGATTTTTTTTTCTCTGACAAGGCTTCATAAACAGGATCCACCTGGTGTCTGCACACATGGTTGTCAGCTCCATCTCTATAGCTTCCCTACCCCGAAGGCAAAACAATTAGGGTGAAGATGGCACCTCCTGGCTGGGCTCCTCTAGAGGCATGGTTTTGCTGTAAAGAATTGGGCTTGCAGTCAGATCTACTGGGCATCAAAGACCAGCTTCCCTCAGCTGCTGTTGGCAAAACTGTGCAATAAAGACAGGAAGACTAGAAAGGAAAATGACAGGGAAGAGATGCATAAGGAAGACGATCCTGGTGTTTTCAGGGAACTGACAACAACCACAGGAATTACTTAGAAAACACAGAGCCCTGAGTGAAATCTATTATGATTATTATTATGCTTATGGTGATTTTTTAGAGTGTATTCTTCAAAACTTACAACAGTTACTCAAGGGCACAGTTCCATGTACACGTACCTGTGCTTGTCAACACAATTATGAAGCATATCCAGGTTCTTGGACAAGATGTCCTGTTTTTTCTTTGTTTTGTTTTATATTTGAAGAGGATAATTGTATTAGAATCTAAAAGAGAAACTTCCAGGCTGGCAGGCAAGCTGCAAATCTCAGCAGTGAGAACGGCACACAGTTAGTTCTCTCATTCCACCATGCGGGTCCTGGGGGTCAAATTCAGGATGTGAGCTTTGGTAGCAAGCACCTTTACCTTCTGGGGCACCTTGCTGGTCAATATGTGAATCTCTTACCTGGCAATGACAGTGACATATTAAATGCAAACTCCTCCTGGGTTGTTGCACCTACAAAGGGAAAGAGAATATTGTGTGAGGCCATTAAATAAATATCTTCATGTGAATCCAAGGCCATTATTTTATTCACCATTAATTAGGAGGTTTTTAATTTCATGGTATCACAGAAATTGGAAGCTCCATCAAATCTGCAATTATAGGGACAGTGTGACACATGAAAGCTTTAGTTACTAATGGCAACCACAGGACACTATAGTTTTTTTTTTAGAACAGTGCTTGAAAACTAAAGAAGTAAGTTCTCTCTCTCTCTATCTCTTATACACACACACACACAGGCACACCTCTCATATATACCATGATGCAAAGTATTCATGTGCTTTCTAAGTCTGTTCCACTATGCTTTTATGCTTTTGATATGGCCGTTTGTGTGTGTGTGTGTGTGTGTGTGTGTGTGTGTGTGTGTGTGTGTGTGTGTTAAGACTGTGGTAAATTCAGTATAACAGCTTACCCCTTGAGACCAGTTGTATCACTAGGCATGATGTTTCCATGACTTATTCTGGCAAAGGCAGACTGGCATTGAGTCAATGAATACATATACATGTACTTCTGAACCACAATTAATCTTACTTTAGTTAATTAGGCAATTGTGACTTTATCATCTTGATTTAAAAACTCATTTAATAAATCTGAATGGAAAGAAAAGTAAATTATTTCTTTTTGGCTAGTGTTATTCAAAAGATTTCCCGGGCTCTTTTATTAATACTAGCCAGAAAATTAGGATTTATATATAAAGTTTTACATAATCAATAAGGAGGAAAAGAAGTAATTTGGTTTTCCTGGGCTCTCTAGGGGAAAACAATCAAGTTTTGAATGTGTGTCGGGAAACCCTTTTGGTTGAATGTCTTGATGTTTTTTCATGATGCTAAATTCAGAGGCAGTGACAATTGAGAGAGTTGAAAATTATCCTAAGGAAAGTGGCCTTTAAATATAGTATTAAGTAGAACAGGGATGGACCAATGAAATGGTCCGATATTAATAGTCCTTTAATAATTTAATATTTAGGACAAGTAAGCAAAGCCAGATGTTAACTGAAACGTCTCCCAGTTGGGTCAGAGTCTGAGCATTTTCCTCCAGTGTAAACATCCCCGCCTTGTGCCCAGGAGTTGAGCACAGGCCGAGGACCAAGTCATACAGCTTTTCACTGCCCAATCAGCTTACGTTCACTACGACTAAAATAACACAAAACAAAAACATTTAAAGAAGCAAACTGTTCACACACACACACACACACACACACACACACACACACACACACACACACACACACACACACGAGAAGGACAAACCTGGTATTTATAACCTCATATTCTCTTCTAGTAACATCCCAAGGATTTTGGTAGCCCACCACACTCATGGCTTGAAAGCTTCCAGGACTCATTTAAGAGTCTCGGGGAGTCTGATTTGCTTCTCAATGGCCCATTCATCCTTTGAACGTTTACTCTGTAGCCCGTGCGGTTCTAACCTAAGCTGGATTTCAGACATGAAAACTGACCTCCAATGCCCAATCCTTTTGCCAAATCCCAGTCAAGGAGGGCTCTTGGAATAATTTCGAGTTGCTATAATGACAAGTTTAAGATTCAATTATTAAGCGTAGTAATTTATTTTTACTATGTTTGCAAAAATGGCTTCTGTCCAACTAAATTTGCTCCCTTCACAGCCAAAAGGCCCAAGATAGCAGCGATGATCCTCACAGCAAGATGACAGAGCAGTTTGCTCTCTGTTGTTTAATGCCACGTCAAACAGAGGGATTTCTACAGAACTAGGATGGAGACATTTCTCTTTTGCCTTAGTTTGGGCAAAAAAAAAAAAAAAAAAAAAAAAAACCTTAAAACTTGATTTCCTTCAGATAGCTGTAATGGATGGTG